GCGGCCACTGCACTCCAGTCTGGGCGACAGAGTGAGACTCCGACTCAAAAAAAAAAAATAGAGACAAGGTCTTGCTATGTTGTCCAGGCTGCTCTTGAACCCCTGGGTTCAAGTAATTCTCCTGCCTTAGCCTCCTAGAGTGCTGGGATTACAGGTGTGAACCACCGCACCTGATCTGCCCCCAATTCTTAAATTTACAAGTTTCTGGTTCCTTTCCCAAGTCCTAGCCTAAACAACCATATCGAGTATCCCTCATTTGTAAAAACTATTTAAGTCTTAATTCAATTTAAGTATAGCATGAATAAAGATTATTCACACGCCACAACCAGGGTCATGTAGGACTAGAGCTCTAGTCCCTGCTTTGGCAGTTACTTGCTGAGTCCACCACAGGCTGTGGCCAAACGACTAAACTCTGGCTTTGGTATGTCACCAGTGCAACCTGGAATCTCCATGTGGCCCAGGGAGAAATGGTTCCGCAGAGCTCGCCCCCAAAGCAGCCCACGAGTCCTCACCACAGTCTCTTTCAGCTGCTCTTCTAACTTGACCTTCTCTTCCAGGAGAACCTTCTCTGTGGCAGGAGGATCTGACTTCTGTTCATTTGGGCCCGTGTCTTCTTCCAAGTTCTGGCCATTGTTCTTTTGTTTTGCAGCTGTGCACAACAGCCGAGGAGAGGACCTAAAGAAAAACCCACATGTCAGAAATGACGCGTTTTGTTTGTTAAAGTCAGAGGCATGGTTTTAGAAACTTGGGATAATTTCAAACTGTTTACTGTTGACTTGCTGGGGAGAACAGATTTATCTCGGATCCATTAAAGGCACACTGCATATGATGTATAAAAGCCGTTTACTTATATAAAATCTTCCACAATACAAACCTAAAATAATATGCCAATGTACCAAGGTACAGTACAGCACTACCCTTGTTTCCACTCTTAAGGTAATTTCTGAGACAGTCAAGACATCACCTCATATTTATGGAGCAGTTACGAGTAGACTGGAAGCCCCCTGCTGATTCTGATTACAAAGATGGACCAGGCAGAGATCTTGCCACAGGGCACTTACCATCATGCAAAAAAGGTAACGCAACGTTTTACACACAAAGCACTGTTGGGCAGGTTCATGCCTGTAATCCCAGCATTCTGGGAGGCTGAGGCAGGAGGACTGCTTGAGCCCAGGCACTGGAGACCAGCCAAGGCAGCACAGCAAGACCTCATCTCCCACAAAAAAACTCTAAAAATGAGCCAGTGACCCAGCTACTCAAGGCTAAGGTAGAAGGGTCGCCTGAGCCTAGGAGGCTGAGAATGCGGTGAGTCATGACTGTGCCATTGCACTCCAGCCTCCAACACAAAAACAAAGAACCGTCATTTGGGGTTTAAAAGTGATAAAAGAAGAATCAAGTGCTTTGGGAGGCCCAGAGTAGGATGACATATCTGGTTTGGGGAAAGGGAAGACCACGAGAGACCTTGTAAGACAGGTGGGGAGTTGGGGGTCGACAGGACAGATGAGCGTCAGGAGAAGGAAGCTGCCTGGACAACAGCATGGAGTCAGGAAAGCAGGGGGTGTGTACAGGGGGTTATAAAGAACTTGAAACGAACGCTGGAGGTAACATAAGAGATTATCCAACCCCACCTCCACAAGAAAAAAGCTAAGTGAAAATCCCAAGGTCACAGAGCCATTAATAGTTAACAGGATGCACACACAAGGATGACAGCTACAGCACTGCACAGTGACAAGGTGGAAACACAAAGTTCATTAGTGATGAAATGTTGGATCAACTGTTACTAACACAATCTGGAATACTGCACAGCTACTTAAGAGAATGAGTCAAACCGCCATCTCTTGAATGCACTCTGGGTGTTCTGCTAAGTGAGATTTGCAACCCACAAAGTAATGCACAAAACCTGATTCCATGTTTGTAAAGACAAACCAGAGATCCCATGTATGTATTCATATCTCTTAGGTCTGTAGAAAGGAGTGGAAGGATCCATACGGTGTGTTGCCACAGGGGTGGAGAGCGATGGCCTTTTCACTTGTGTGACTTATAAAAGCTAGGAATGTAAAAACCGAGTGTACTGTTGGAAGCTTGCCTTCTCTAGTTGTTCTGTCCCCTGGTGTGACAGCCACTCAGCCTTCCTGCAGACCCTTTTCTGAAGCGCAGCCAACAGAGGGTCTGGCAGCAAGCAGTGCAGTGTGGGAAGGAATGACCAGGACCCAGAGTCACAGCCATCCTAACCTGCAGAGGAAAACTGAGTTTCTGAAAGCCTCGCTACTGTGAGCGCTGTAACTACTAGTCAACAATCCTGCCTCCCCCGAGTTGAGTATCTGTCCACTAAGCCACAATTTCAGAGACAGAAATGATGTCGACTTGGTGGTCGCTTTCCTGGCAATTAGTTCCAAATGCAAAACCAACGATTTCTTGAGCAAAAAGTCTTTTTGCTCACGCAGTCCCGGTGGGTCACTGCTCTTGGTTCCCATGCTTTAGAATATTTATTAAGCGGGCACTCAGTCCTCAATCACTTCCGCCGGAAGCGACCTTCACCTCGCCTGCCTGGCCTCCCCTCCCCTGAATAAGTGCCCTGAGGGAAACGACCGGACCGCCCTCTGCCAGCTTCTGCCCAACGCTGGGCCCGAGTATCTTGGTTCTAGGCAGTCGCTTCAACGGACAAGACACTGAGTACTTGCCAGACTAACTTCTGAGACAGAGCTTTCGAAAAGCAGAAGCCGCAGGTTAAAAGAAGGAGCAGCCAACCGGCTCTTGTGACCCGAAGCCGTGAAAGGTGCGCTTGTGTCAATACACTCTCCCCCGCACCGGGCCAGGCTCCACTGCCCATCTGACCTCGACTCCGGAGAGGGCGAAGGGAAGAAACCCGAGGCCGCGGGGGACGGGCCCGCGAACGGGCAGCGGGCGCCTCGCTAGAC